TTATTTTAGCCGTAAATACTATTGGTCATATACAAGGGCCTCCAGAAAGCAACTTTTTTATTTTGTAACGATAGAAGCCAATATTTACAATGAAGATATCAGATGAAAAATGTTAATGTAAATTTTACAACATATTAATATTTCACAAATTCCGTCCAATTTTCTCTTCCACAGTTAAATTACCATTTCTCATCAATAATAGACTGTTTTAGCTGCAAATACAGCACTATTTATAATGAAAATAATAGCTGTAAAATAATAATGTAAACAATACACTATTATTGATATTTTACAAATCACCTCCCATTTTCTATTCTACAATTTAATTACATTTTCTCATCAATAAATATTATTTTACAGCTGTAAAATTTTTATGTAAATTTTACATTATTAACATTTTATACTTCCACTATTAAATTACCGTTTTTCAGCAATAATAGGTTACTATTTTAGCTGTAAATAATGCCGGTCGTATATAGGCTCCTCCAGAGAGGAACATTTTTATTTTGTAACGACAGAACCCATTGTTTACAGTGAAAATAATAGTTGTAAAATGTTAATGTAAATTTTACAGCATTATTAATATTTTACAAATTCCTTCCCATTTTCTCTTTCTCAATTAAATTGTCATTTATCATATTCCTCAACTGATTACCATTTCATTTTATAAAACTACCCAACTCACCCTATAGGCTATCACACATTCCCAAGGAATAAAATACGAACGTAAGAAAGGAACATTATCAAACTCCCTTCCCCATTCAACGAGATGGATACTGAATACTAAGTAACACTACAGCATTCCTAACATGCAAGTGCACATAAGACAGAGGTAATAAATCCGCAAATATGAAGAGTATGAAAGTTACCATTCTGACTAATCGGGATTGTCATCAAGACAAATTGCAACGTACACTGCATTACCCACGACGGCAAGGATATATCTCAAAGGACCGACTACTTGACTTACTACCTACTCTTCAACTTTGAACTTGATTAGGATGGTAACGTGTACATACATATCTTTATTAATACAATTAATTCATTGCTGAAATTGTGTTAAGAGGTGTTAATCAAAATGTAAAGGTGCAAGAACAGAACTCTACCCATGCTTTTATATATAGAAATGTTGCATCAAAATTTTACGTCAATTTTATTAATGTAATTTTACGGACATATTCCCATTAAATTAAAAATTTACAACTGATATGAATTTCTCTGTGTAAGCCTAATATAATTTTAATGCAATTTTACACTGTCAATTGTATAGTGATAAAATTACATTTTTGGGGTGGTTGCTTGGTAAATTTGTCTGTAATATGTCTTAAATGTAATTTTACAATGTAACTATATATTCACAACAAATAATTTGCTTTGATTAAAATTTTCTATACTATTTTTCACCCTAAAATAACTCCCGAAGCCTATAAACTGTTTTTCTAATGCCCCGTATTACAAAGGATGAGTTTCCGCCGCACAAGCCCCGTAGGTAATTCTGTACGTCATATAATCTCCAATAAAACTTCACAACACATAAAATCGGAGCAATAATCTTGACTGATGAGCGCCGGTATATCTCCACATTTCGTCAAGTGAACAAAAAGCCTTAGGCGGGATTTTCATGTCAAAAGAGCCTTCCAGCTTCGTCTTATTATGACGTTACATTTCTACCCACAATAATTTATATACGGCTGATTGATCTCCCAGTGCCACTAAATATTTACAGTGCCTATTAACACTAATTTTTACTTTCCCATCTGTCCCAAAAAGGCGCTCCTTTATTCTGTTGTCAGCAGTGTCGCAAAAAACGTTTATACACTGTGTTTGTATAATTACATTTATAACTGTAACAAATGCTGTAAAATTACATTAACTAGTATTTTACTGCATTCGTCCCGAAGACATTACTGCAATACACAAAAATTGTATATAGAATTTAATGGAAGCTGTGTTAGTATAATTACATTTATAACTACTACAAATGCTGTAAAATTACATTAACCATTATTACAGTATTTGTCCTGAAAATCAGTGCAATAAAGGGAAATTACAATAAACTTACAATAAATGTATATACAATTTAATGGAAACTGTATTAGTATAATTACATTTGCGTAAGTGTAACAAATGCTGTAAAATTACATTAACTAGTATTTTTACTGTATTTTTCCCGAACACATTACTGCAATGCTCAAAAATTGTATATATATAATTTAATGGAAGCTATGTTAGTATAATTACATTTATTACTGCTACAAATGCTGTAAAATTACATTAACCATTATTACAGTATTTGTCCTGAAAATTACTGTATTAGTATAATTACATTTGTAACTGTAAAAAATGCTGTAAAATTACATTAACTAGTATTTGTCTGATAACACATTACTTCACTGCAATAAAGAGAACACTTAAATTAGAATTAAGGTGGATTACTTGTCAGAAATATGCGCGGCATATCACAGCCGTCTAAGTGTAAAATTACAAAGGTATGCCATTAAAATCGCAGAATAATGCATATGCACTGTAAACTGTCAGTGTAATATTAATGTATTTACAGAATTTTTGCGGAAAACATTGTAATATACAATGTAAAACTGCCAGGATATTTTTTAGTGTATTCCTGGGATTCTGAAGAAAAATTTAAATTACTAGAACCAAACAACTGGCTCGGAAACTGTACACATTAATATTATCTTACAATGAACATAAACCACTAACCTGATAATAAACCATTATAGGATCTTTGCTGCCCGAGACCAGTGTTGACTTATCTACCCCTAACATAAATCTATAAGACCATTGTAGGTGTAAACCGACTGCTAAATTTAACACACCGTTCCTCGTTGACACTTCGTTACACAGTCACCGTTTTAATTACCAATATTGTACCGAGGCGTTACTTATAAACTTAATATAGACCGTTTAACAGCTCTTACCTCGCCGGTAATCGATGCCAAAGCGAAAGGGGCTCTATTAAACCGAATTTCTCGCTTTGAAGTGCGAAAAATTCCACAGAAACAAAAGTGAACACCGAGGCCCAACCCCCTCAATGAACTGAATAGATTCTTTAATTAATTTGCATTCGTACAAGCCTCTACAATTATAGAATTCGCAGAAGCACGCTCGAGTGTCCTTGCTACAAATATTTTAATTAATGAAGCGAGTCGGGTCTCCCGACTTTTTTTTATTTTAATTAGTGTCAACTTTGGTTTCTTGTTACTAATCAGTTTTCACAACTTTTTCCATTTGCTGAGCCAAAACAGCGGGCAAGTAAACAAGTTGCCTGTATTAAACTGAGTTCGACAGTGCAATCTGTTAAGATCTGGAGATCTTAAGTTTTTTGTGTTGATTCACTGTAGAAATATACTCGGCCTGTCCTATTATATCAAAGATTAGGCATAATTTAAATTATTGTTGTTGTTTTTGGGATAGCCGTGGTTGAAGGTCACTTGAAAGTCAAATGTAGAAAATCAATTGCCAACAAAGTAGCCATACATACGACTATCTATACGTTTTTGGGGTCGGTAAATCTGAATGCGATGTCCGTTTGATCCGATCAGGTCTACGTTAAGGTCAGTTCAAGGTCAAATGCAGAGAATCAATTGTCCACAAAGTAAACCTACATATCTATACGTGTTTGGGGTCGGTGAATCCAAATCCGGTGTACGTTTGATCCGATCAGGTCTGCGTTAAGGTTAGTTCAAGGTCAAATGTACAAAATCAATTGCCTACGAAAGAAATTTAAATATTTATATGTTTTTGGGGTCGGTGAATCCAAATCCGGTGTCCGTTTGATCGGATCAGGTCTGCGTTAAGGTCGATTCAAGGTCAAGTGTAAAGAATCATTTGCCAACAAAGTAAACCAGATATATGGGTTTACTTTGTTGGCAATTGATTCTATACATTTGACTTTGAACTGACCTTCAACCAGAGCTAATCGGGTCTAACGGACCCAGAATTCGGATTCAGCGACCCCAAAAACATATGGATATATTGATTTACTTTGTTGGTAATTGTTTCTCTATATCTGACCTTGAATTGATCTTAACCCAGAGCTAATCGGGTCAAACGGACACCGGATTCGGATTCGGATTCAGTGAACCCAAAAACATATAGATATCAGGGTCTTGTCTTTCGGATATTCTACTTTTTTTTATGGGGCTGTGTAATCGTAGCACATCTAGTTTCCTATCCGTACGTTAGGGGATCACCCTGTATATCTCTCTTAAAGCTTACGAACGTAATATATGGCTGAGCGGGCTAAAACAAGTGAGTTATACATCGAAACATATTTTATTCGACACCATTTAGGCCGTATTACGACACCTAAAAAAAGAGAAATGGCGAAAACGTGCTTTTAATAAGAAATTCGGCATAAATCTTGGGCAAACTTTAAAAATATCAAAAACTGCTTAATGCAGCGGGGTGTCGAATTCTAAATTTTGAGAAATTCAGATGTAACATGTGAGAAATTTATTGTGTGAGATATTGTCGGAAGTTATCTATCTGGGGCGCAGTTCCTGTTTTTTTTTTATTTCTTGGGTATTGCGAAAAGTTGCTCACCTTTCGAAAATCTATCTGTTCTCTAAATTCTCATATTCCAAATGGAGGCAATTCTGGTAAGCAGCCAAGTCTAGTATTTGTGTTCTTGGCGTTGTATTTTAAGTAAAACATTTATTAACTCGCGCAACGTTTGGTGAAAATTAAATAACGTTCTGCATTTCGCTTATATGCAATGACCCACATTCATCACAACATATCAGAATAATATTTTATAAACAGTTTTAATCTGGTTCATTTCGCCGTTTCTACGTGATGAAAAATATCGCCAATTCCGCACACCAATAAATGTCAAAAGCGTATCTGTTTTTTAGTATATTATTTATTCTGTGTGCAAGCTGATGACGTGCCAATATTAAAACACCATTTTATACACCTAAAAAAATATTTCGCATATGCAAACGCGAGATTTTAATGCGACTTTTTTTTTGTTTCAGGGGGAGAATAGCCAGTACGAGATGGAGGGCATGTTCGAGTGTCTGCCCTGTCCAGAGGGCTGTGAATCGTGCGAAGACGAGCGTCCCTGTGTGGTTTCTTTAAACTGGGTTATGCGGACTGTCATTCTAATCCTCTCGTGCGTTATAATATGCTGCTTACCCATTGTGGTATTCTTCACGTGGAAATATGGAAATGTAAAGGTAGGATACGCTGTTACGACTTAAAATCCACCACATCCATTATTCGCCTACTGTTGAAACTTTCAATTACACTTGTCGGGGTCTGTATAAATAATGAGGTATATTATTCATACAGCCAGTCTGTGTTTTGTTGGATAGGAAAGGGCGTGTTTAGTCTGCGGCTGTGTTACGGCTGATTGAATTTTAAATTTGAATTTTCGCGATTTTTAGTCTCGAGTACCTGCGTACGTTGTTTGGTCAAAATGTTATTAACAAAAACGTGTAATAGCTCGTCAGAAATAGTAGTATTTGCCCCATGTCTAAAACGTCGCTTATATTTGGTATCGGATAACGTTCGTCTACAGTTCTCTCGTTAAGTCAACAACGTCATTTTTTAGGGGATATGTTTGCCTTTATGAGACTATCCAATAGCATCCGTACCGAGTTGAACCGGAGGGATAAATAGGGTGTAATAATACCGTCTTCTGACGTTTTACAAATGTTGTTTCTAACCTCTTCTTTATGATAATGTGAAAACCACTGTGTCAAGTCTGTATTCATGTAACGTATTTGTCAGTTAAATTCTAAAATCTCCTTGTAGATGCACGGGATTTGATTGATAATACAGGCACACGAACCAAAAAAAGTGGCCTGGTCTGCAGAATTTTCACCCATGTTTTCAAAATAATTCAAGAAACCTCCTGAAAGCTATTCACGGGACACAAATCCCACCAAAAAAGCCCATCAGCCGTAGCGGACGATGCTAACAGGGCACCCTACCGATCGCTGAGCCACCGCCGACAGCGCATAAGGCGCGAAAATTTTCTATTTAGTTTCGAATTTTTGGAACTTCCATGCGAAGACCCCTGCAGGATCCCAGCGGACCCAGCCTGCTCCGTGTTCGAACGTCAACCCTTCAGGTTATTAACGTTTATTAATTTATACGGCTATCGCTATTGCTTTCATATATCGTAAATAAATGTCTTAAAATAAATTTAGCGTGTCATTTAGCAGGTCAGCCGACGTTTTTATGATTTTGTGCGCCTGTGTAGTTTGTTAGTAAATTCTCGAATGATACTGAAGACGAGATTATCCACGCAGAACGTGGTCTTAATATAGCCGTATGCTATCGATTAATAATTTTACAGGTGGGTTAAAGATTTCAATATAAGGGATAAAGTTTACTGGAGCGGATGTGCGTTCTAGTGCGTTCTCATCCATCGACGGCATTCTTTAAAAATTTACTACGTTTCTAAAATTGATAAAATTCAAAGTAACGTGAGTCAAGAGCACGAAACCAATTATTTTGCTCGTACGAACAACGAGAAGGCGTTACGTCACAGCGATCGCAGAAGTCATAATCTAAATTGATTCATTGGAAAGTTTGTTAAATTTTTTCTGTGACACGTACTTGTGCACGTTCAACTGAGGTCGGGAGCTGCCCGGTAGCGGCGTAGACGAGACAGTAAGTGCAGTTTAAACGAATTATGGAATATTTATTTGATTTAAAAAACAACTGAATTATTCTCACTCATCCCTTTCACGTGACCAAAATTTGTTGTTGTTGTTGTATATAGCCCGTCATAGTTAAGGGACGGACACTTTTATAAAAAAAAAACGGAGCTCGAGCCACCCTCGTATCTTCTGAACTCATAAAGATCGCAGCATGCCAATTTCGGAGGCAATTCACCAGCACAAAATAGCGGAAATGAAAATTGTTACGGCACACATCTTAACTAATAAGAAAACTGATTGGCAAAATGCGGGACACGGGATGAGGACAAGAGGGAAATCAATAAGAACCTCAAGGTCAACGTTTGTTTGTTGAATACGATTTTAATTTCCAATTCCTCCGCTGAACAGGCATGCATTAGATTATTCTACACACAAGGTGTCCCAAAAAGGTTCCGAATAAACTTACTTCTCACTATTTTAGCTTAAAAATAAGGTTATTGATTAGGGTGACCATATCTTCTGCGACACCGACGCCCTACCTGATTAAGTCGCTACCATCTGCGAACCGCCCATATCAGGCGGCTGCAGAGTTGTACGTTGTTTATCCGAAGGACCAAAGAAGGCGTAAGGATTATTGTCTCTTATTTCCCAGGGTAATATCGTTAGAAACGAAAATTGGAATGTGAAGATTATTTTCAACTTGCATGTCAGGGGGTCCTAGGGACGATGTTACACAAATAGAAACGGACGCAGATTGGAAAATACACAAATTTTATGATAATCGTGTCGCGGCATGTCCCCTTTAGCTTCTTATTCTAAGAAGCACGCAAGTTTGTTTCTGTTTGAGGGAATTTAAGCGCGTTCTTCGTTGTAAACTACTTTTAATATGATTATAGTAGGCAACCCTCAAGCGGTTTTCAGTCGTTCTAAACGTACACAAAGTTGGCAGGCCACTTTTGGCAGACTGCAAAAAGGCAGTCTACGAAAATCTTTTACTTTTATAAATGACGACAGATTCGACTTTGTAGAATGCATTATATTAATACACCACTGAAAAGCGCTTCATTTTCGAGATTCTTCCACTCTCTGTTGGGTTAACACAAAACATAAAATTCGGTGATAATTCATGTTTTTAGACTGTTTAAATATATATATTTTTTGTTATAGGTTGTACGTGCTGCAAGCCCTGTTCTGCTGCGAGTTATAGCCCTTGGAGCCTTTTTCATATACAGCACGGTAAGATGTCAATAAGCACATAAAAAAAATCCAAACAGTTTCCAATATTATAAGCGATTTTATTTGTATCTTTAATATCTTTAATCAAACGTATCTTTTTGATCCTTAATCCCGCCTGTTTGGCGGTTTTTCGTGAAATAGCCGCGGCTTCTATCTCAAACATTTGAATATAAAACTTCAAATATTCCTATTTTTAAGCCTAAGCTCACAAACCCATACCTGTAATTTTCGTACACAAAGATCTCATAATTAAAAGTGGAGTGCTAGATTCAAATTATAATTTTTTTTACGTAAGCGTTCATTAAAAAAGCGGAATGCAATAAATTTTAATTAAAGCTTGAGAACTATTTAAAAATGATTTCTCATAACCGTAGATGCGTATATACGAAAGCATAACGAACACGTTTCGACTTTATTACAACAAGTAAATTAATTTGCAACAGTATATAGACTCAAATTTTTTTTTTTCGTACTTTGCACAAGTACTTATATGTACATCAACTAAGCATTATGTAAAAAACTAAGGCTTTAGAATATTATAGATCTGCCACATACATCACACATCATAAGTAGACATCACACATCACTTATGTGCACATAATTATACATCAATGTTCTTTACAAGTTACGCAGAATACTCATTTCGATATTTTTGTAGCCGAATTAAATATTAACTCAGTATTCCTACTTAATATTTACGATAATGATACTGTTTAATAAAGCTAGTTCACCTTTACTGCCAAATGTATCACACATCATCAGAAGATGTCACTAATTGCGTATGTGTTCATAAGTATATATCACACATCATTTATGCGTACATAAGCACATATCACACGTCACGTATGCGCGCACAAGTCCACATCACTCGTTACTAAGGTGTTAGAACATTATAGATGTGTCACACATCATAAGTAGACATCACACATCACATGTACACATAATTAAATATCACACAACACTTATGCATCTATAAGTACGCATCGCAAATCACGTATGTGTCCACAAGAGACACACACACACACACAATATAGATCTGCGTCCACGAAAAAATTGACTTTGTTGTGTCGCACACCACAAATAAAATTATGGCAGCGTTGCCTGAAACCGATATTTTAACTGTTGATGTTTATAAAAGTGGCGTGTGACGCGAGTTATGTTCGATAGATAAACTTTCACGCCGTTACTGCAGAATAAATATGTGGAATGCAAGTTTTTCTTTCGTTGACGGTAACAGGCGGAGGTTAAGATTCAAATGGGCGAAAACACCCGAATACTTTTTTGTTAACCGCTGAAAAACCCGCGCGATACACCGTTTGGGACGGAAGATTATATATCATGCGAAATAAGTGGTTGAACCGTGAAAAAAATACTCCACTCGGGCTGGTTTAAATGCTGTAAGCCCTCGAGAGCATAACGTTTTACAGTTAAAACGCGAGATTTGTGGATCACTTTTTTTAATGTGTGACGTACATGTGGTGTGAGTGAACGAGACCTAGTTATACACAAAAACGTATTATTGTAAATATATCATTTAGTACTAGTAATAACGCTTTAAGTGTATGCAGAAATATATGCACAAAGTAACAGAGCTGTAGCAAAATTTCTTTTTTTACAGTTACGACATTGTAATATTTATGTAGATATCATAAAACCTTGGACGAATAAACTTGACGTAAAACTATTAAAATATAACATAGTAGTGACTGAAACCACGAAATTAGTACTCTTCATAGAAGCGGACGGATTTCCTTTAGTATCGAATTATATCTACGATTTTATTAAAAATATAAAATATACAGCCACAACGCTCTGTCTCGTGTAATAATAGATTACGTTTGTATACAAAGTTGATAACTGATGCAAAAATAACATTCTCAGGCCTCTAAAAATCCATCACTCAAATAGAAATATTTTGTGCGTTCAAATCAAAATTATTTTCATTGACCGAGTTCCCGATTTCTCTGTAAAACAGTACAACACGGTTGTTGTAATAGAGGGAGCTCATTGATACATAAAGAGAAAAAATTGAGTTCAAAGTTTTCCGACGTCCAGGCACATTTTCCCGAATCACTAAACTGGGGATAATAAAAATTGGCGTTGATAGATTAATTAAAGGAAAGAATTGTGCAAATAGATAAGACCAATTTAATTTGATAGCTGACAATGAATATGGGCATCTCTCGGTTTCGAAAAGTCAATACCTATGTATGTTTTCAGCCACGAAAATTAAATAATTCCAAAAATTTCGAATTTTCACCACCAAGAACGGCGGTAACAACATTTTTAACAGTAAGGCGATATTTCGCACTGTATTAGCTATGTCCTGTCCGAATTTTGTTAAGGCATCTCTCTCGGTTTCGAAAATTCAATATGTAGGTACATAACACCAAAATAATATACAGCACGAAACAGTTTGTTTGAGCGATGTGTGAATATGAAACAAATGTAAACAATCTCATTAACGTTTATACTGCCAATCACTACTTTAATGTACACTAGGAGAGTCCGTTTTAGCGATATGTGTGAATGGAAACTAAAAACATGTGACGTGTGATGATAACCACCACTTATAAAACACAGATCTCTATTTAATATAAACAATCTTATTTACATATACACTAGGAAATAGTTTGAGTAATGTGTGATGGTGAAAAATTGCTTGATGAGTGATACTTATGTCAAGTAAATGTAAACAATTTTATTTACATATACACCTCTAATGAAGAAGGTGGCACACAGCACGAAACAGTTTATTTGAACGATCTGTGATGTGTGAATAGCTAAATGAAGTGCGATATGTGAAATAAATCCCAGCATTTCATTGAATGTGCTTTGTTATTTCAGATGATCGTCATGTACCCCAAACCCACAATTTACACCTGTACTGCAAGAGTTTGGTTGAGGGAAATCGGTTTTTCCCTTACTTATGGAGCTTTAATGCTGAAAACTTGGAGGTGAGCTAATGACCAACTTTATTACCTCAGTTGTAAATTATATAGAGTAAATAGTCGTGTAACTATTTTAAGTATTTTAGTTCCCCTGAAATTACTACGTAAAATTTGCCTGAACATTTGCGACTGTGCTAACTTAGTTTCACTTACAAAATAAATTAAATGGGGTTGCGCCCCAGATTACGATACTTTCACCTGTTTTCTGTTTACCCCGAGCACACCCAATACCATCAAATTTATCCCGGAAACCATGAAAGTATAAAATGCTCGAGTATTTCCTGAACAAACTTCTTTCCACTTCCAGCGTCCACGTTAAATATTTGAGTGTAGTGCCAAACGCTCAGGACCCCGACATGGGAGTTCTTTTTTTAATATATTAAAGAAAATTCTAATTAAGTGGGCAACTTTTACAAATTCCAATTATTATACTTAATAGGTACGTAAAATTACTAAACGGTGCGTTAATTCTACTTCGTTTATACACATCAAAGTAAAGGATAATGACCAATTTTGTGTTATTGGCTTTGCCATACTTAAAAACTTCGCTCATACTTTAATAATTAATCAAGGAAAGTTCGCGCTGTACCCGTTTCTTTTTTCGACGGTTTTTATTAAAGTGACTACAATATATAACTCTTTTTACTCTTTCAAACTGCGGATGATCCGTGTAACGCTGAACATTTGAAATTCTTTTGAAGTTTTAATCGCCCGGTCATTTATTTTTTATATTCTAATCGTTATAAAATTATATCACGCACCGCATGATTTCCAAAATGCCGGCACAAGCGATTATTAATAAAAAACTCCTAAAGTGTATCTCGACAACGATTAAAACTTAAATTTAATTCTTTCCAGAACACCGCATAGCCAAAGGGATTACTGTAAAATTACAATAGTTTACTCGCTTTTACGTTGTAAAAATTGTAAATTGTAAAATGCCGCTAAAATACAAACAATTATACAAAAAAATGTAATATTATTACATGGAAAATTAAATAAATTAATAACATAAACACTTAAAAATTGCAGGAAAATTACAGAAAAATGTATATTCATCATAAATTTTCAATTTAGTTGGAATTACAGTTGTGTAGTCATGTATGTAAATTATTACATTGCAAAGTGTACGTAAAAGTAATTTCAGTCTTAATTCACTTTTGAGATAGAATAAGAAAATGCTATAGCAATAGTAAAATTAATACATTATTCAAGTTAACTATAAACAGTGTAAAATTACAACAAAATTCTATTAATATTAATAAAATTATATTTCCACTGTAAATTTTTATTTAGTTGAAGGTTCATGTAATCACACCCGTGTGTGATTATAATTGACCTTAATTTACCCAAAATATGTAATTTTATTGTAAACCTACAATTATACGCTAAACTGGTGGAAGGCTTACATGGAAAATGAAGAAATTATTGATATAAATCTGTAAAATTACAATAAAATGACAGAACACTATATCCCCCGTATATATTTTTTTAATTTAATTAAAATCTCATTTGTGTAATCAAAGTTATAACATAAATGTAAAATTACATTAAATATTTTTACTATACTTTTTGAAAAACATCACACAAATACGCATTTTTCTAGAAAACTACAATTATCGGAATGAATACTGATTTAGCGAAAAAAATACATAGGAATTAAGCCTAAAATTACAGGAAAATTACATAAAAATTACAGAAAGAAATCATGTCCAATGCAAATTTTTAATTCAGTCGTAATTACAATTGTGTAATCACATTTATAAGATAAATTACATTAATTAGTATTTTTACTAAATCCATTATACTTTTTCAATTTAATTGGAATTATATTTGTGTTCTCACATTTATATAAATGTAATGTAAATTGTAAAGTGTACATTCTAATTTACATTTGAAATAGAACCCAAAATAATGTATTTTTGTTGTAAAACTACTATCAAGTGCAATTATTACATAATAATTACAGAATATTACATGTTCACATCGATAAAACTAATTTACATTAGTTTTAAACATATTTATGTTTAAAAATATGATTTGCATAAATGTAATTACAACTGAATTAAAAATTTACAATGGACATGTATTTTTCTATATTATTGTATTATGCAGTTTCACACTGTTTACAATTTATATTGCATCTGATTGTAGTTTTACAATAAATATACATTATTCTGGGTAATTTGTTCAAGACTTTACAATTTACATTACATTTCTACAACAATCTACAATGTCAGATAATGTAATTTATATGTAAAAATACATTAAGTAGTTTCCGTGCTGGGAATATTTTCTACGGCTACAAGTTGAGTTTTCAATATAAACAGTAAACAGTGTAAAATTACAGAAAAATTACATAACAATTACAGAAAATTACATGACCATATCGATAAAACTAATTTACATTAGTTTTATACATATTTATGTTTAAATATGATTTTCATGAATGTAATTACAACTGAATTAAAAATTTACAATGGACATGTATTTTTCTGTATTATTGTATTGTGTAATTTTACACTGTTTGTAGTTTTACAATAAAAATACCTTATTTTGGGTAATTAGTTCAATTTTATGTACACTTTACAATTTACATTACATTTCTACAACAATCTACAATGTCAGATAATGTAATTTATATGTAAAAATACATGAAGTAGTTTCCGTGCTGGGAATATTTTCTTCGGCTACGAGTTGAGTTTTCAATAATTGCACCGAGATTAGCGATGTCAGGGTATCATGCCAGAAAAATGTCCCCTGATAAAATAGAATAAAACTTCCATTTCGGCCGGTGTTTCGAACGGAAAATCCCGTTCTCGTCCGCCCCACATGAGCATGAAACTTTTGCTTCTGCTTCGGAAAGTGGAAAGTTCATAATCAAGGCCTGTCGCAATTTATAAAACCATATCTCAACATTATTATAAAACTCGAGAAATATGTTACCTTGGCGAGGGGACAGAGTTGAATTTAAAAATCTTTCCTGACATTGTTACCAGGTGAGGAATATTCCTTGCCTTTTTTTATTCGCCCATCCGAGTGTAAACGAGAATAATATCTCGCATAAAACTAAATGAAAGTATTACGTTTCACGAAAATGCGTAAATATACCCGACTGAGAACCGCCAGCAAATCATTTCGATGCAATTCTAATTTATTTAGTATATTTTTGTACCTACTACTCGTAACAAAGGTTAAGTATAATACAAATGGGATAGTGTCAGGACCAAAGCTTTTACGAAGGTTGTCATTGATCTTCGCATTTGGCTGTCATCTTCGTCTCTTAGAAGCTAAGTGCTCGTCGTATTAGTCGAGATATTCCTCTACGAGCCCCATGTAGGCGTAATTGATTTAACATAGCTCTTAATACATCATGATTATGTTAGGTAGTAACCTTGAAAGCGCATTTTTTTATCTAAACTTCGGGCAGATTAGTTTAACTTAGTTTCGAATAGGAGGCAATATTCCTTTCGATCTCTCATAGGCCGTACACTGATCAGGAAGCGCGCTTTATTTAACATAAAATTTTAGATCCGCAAATTCGTTTGGACGTAAAGTTCTCATGAGCTGTGTATTTTAAAAAAATACAAAGCAATGCAATTATTTTTGTTTTTTTTTGTCTGAAAAAAAATTGAGAATAAATTAGATTCGGCGTAGGATTATACAAGGTGTTACAAAAGATCCGAACCCCCGATAACATATCAAGGCACCGATATACTTGGATTCGACCCCAACTAAATTTTACGTTCGAGTGACCTCTAGGGGTCACCTGAAGGTCAAATGTCTTTCTCGATGTTTTCAAGCTAGTCCTTCGTCAGGATAGCGAGATATAACGAAAATCACTTCTATAAAACTTGAGACCAGTACCTGGTGAAATCGGATTTGTCTTTGGGGATCATTTTCAAGGTCATTTGAAAGTCAACTCTCGTTTTTTAAATAGGAACCCCATTTTTTACACCGAATTCTGAAAAAATGGAAAATTTTACGTTCGAGTATAGCTCAAGTGACCTCTGGAAGTCGCGTGAAGGTCAAATGTCTGCCTCGAAGTTTTCAGCCTAGTATCTCGTCGGGATAGCGAGATATAAAAAAAATTACTACTATACTATAAAAGTTGTCGAAACCACTACTTGGTGACCTCGGATTTGCCCTTGAGGGTCATTTGAAAGTCAACTTTCGTTTTTTAAATAGGAACCCCATTTTTTAGCCCGACTCCTGAAAGAATGAAAAATTTTACGTTCAAGTATAGCTCAAGTGACCTCTGGAAGTCGCGTGAAGGTCAAATGTCTTTCTCGAAGTTTTCAGGCTAATACCTCGCCAGGATAGCGAGATATAAAGAAAATGACCTCTATAAAAGTTGTCGAGACCAGTACCTGGTGACCTCGGATATGCCCTTGAGGATTACTTTCAAGGTCATTTGAAAGTCAACTTACGTTTTTTAAATGGGAACCCAATTTTTTCCAGGATTCTGAAAGAATGGAAAATTTTACGTTCGAGTATAGCTCAAGTGACCTCTGGAAGTCGCGTGAAGGTCAAATGTCTTTCTCGAAGTTTTCAGGCTAATACCTCGCCAGGATAGCGAGATATAAAGAAAATGGCTTCTATAAAAGTTGTCGCGGTCATATGAGGCCACCACCTGGTGACCTTGGATTTACTCTTGAAGGTCATTTTCATGGTCATTTGAGGGTTAGCTACCATTTTTATTATGGATTCAATTTTAGATCAGCAAATTCATTTGGACGTAAAGTTCTCACGAGTATTTTAAAAAAATACAAGGCAATGCTTTTTTTTTTGTCTGAAAAAAATTGAAAATAAATTAGATTCAGCGTAGATTATACAGGGTGTCCCCAAACGATCCGAACCCCCGATAACACATCAAGGCACCAATATACTTGGATTTGACCCTAACCTCAAAATTCAAGGTCAATTACAAAATATGAAATAAAGTAATTTTAAATTTTGCGTTTTCATTTCAACTCATCGAAAAATCATCGAAGCCAAACATTACC